GCCATCGATAATATATGTACATGTTGTGTTTGCCGGATAAAGTTGTGGAAACTGAAATTGAGACATGAATGAGGTTACCATTAGCGATCACCTAGATGATTGCTTCCGAATGTTTATTGCCAATTGTTTACGGGCGCGATCAAATCGTTCCGCTAGTCATTCATGTGCAACATTTATTCAGTGATCACTTCAACAAGGGTGTACAACATCGCAGCACGTTTACTTTCTGCCTTGAACATCGCTCCCTTAGTGTTGGGTCGGTGACCACCGATGGTCGGTGCTCACCGGAAATAATCATCGACGGTTTTGCGATGGTCCCCGACCGTCGGTGAACACCGAGTTGTGGTCATTACCGACCGCAACCGAAGAGCGTGCTCGGTCGGTGACGGTGGCAAACCGCCGCGCGGTTATAACCGAACTGCAACCGACCGATACTTAAAATTGTGCGGTCGGTGAATGTCGAGTTGCGGTAATCACCGACAGGGCTCTCGGTCGGTGACCACCGAGAAAAATCTTGCGGTTCCCAGCACTACGCTCCCTTGCTGCTTTCACTCTCTAAGACGTCAGCCAGTATGTATTAAACTAATGTTTCAGAGATATTCATTCGTGTTCCTTGTCCTCATCGTCGACTTTTTTCAGAGTGACATTTTTGGAATCTTCGTTCCTGACTTTTCCAAAATTGTGGGGATCTTTATTTCCCGATACTTTTCGAGGAATTCCCCAAAATTCGGGGGAAATTGGAGTGTAGCACTCTACCATGACGGCCACTCGATTCCACTGTATATAATTCTATTCATCACTTATATAATAAATAACATTGAAGTGCTAACTACCAAATATTTGTATCAGATATCGCGTATCGCACCAGCATTACGCGTTCAACCACACTATCTCGTCAACAAGGAGTATGGCTATGAGCAACGTTAAATTTTTAGTGGGTTGTCAAAAATGAATTCGTCAATAATTTTTGCATCGTTTTTCGTTCTATATTATTATTGCACTAGACTGTAACTTATAGATTTCCAAAGATAGAATGAGAATTTCTCACAGCTAATGTCTGTTGTTCTTCACTGAGAGACACCAGTGGTGTCCATTAACTCGGAAATCATTAACACGAAGCTAATCTTTCTGTTTTCGTTAGGTCGCCAATTATGACTCTGAAAAGCTTTGAGTATGATGCAATGTATTTATATACCACTGTACTCACACTTCTTACTTCGTGCGCCCTCCCCCTCCTGATTGCATAGAAACTGTCATTCTCTCTATTCGCCATTCCCATTCACTAACAATATGGTTTTTCTGCATGAAATATCAAAAGAAAGTCGACAAATTTCTTCATTGCTCAAGAATTCCGCCGTTCAAATTTCGACTGTAGCATCAAAAGAATCAACTCCTCATGGTCATTAGATGATATTACATATATCATCAAAAAACGATGAGAGAAGTAGTTTGAAAAAAGAACGGTCATTATTAGTATGTCAACTTCCTCAATCCTGCTGACAACTTGAGTTTCCCTCTCAGAGTAAATTTTCTCCCACCCCACCTATGAGAATCACCGCTGCACGTTGAAAAGCTCTGTAATGTTATTCTTTGAACTCGAATCACTCCATTACGAGAACAGATCTTTTAAGATAATTTTCCCATTGCTATCCATTTTCCTGAATACTGATTCTGACTGGACGATTAGGACTGTGTCTAAGCATTGCAATAAGCTATTACTTAATCATTGGAAAAACTTGGAAACACACTGCTGATTGTTCTGAACAATGATTTATATGAACCGATGTTGAATTGTTACTAATGGTTCGGATTAAAATTGCAGACATTTAACAAATTTTTGTAAAGCCAATGTGTGCAGTGCATTTTTATATGTTAGGCATTCATGATCACATGGAATGTCTTCCTTTTATGGCATTGAGGTTGTTGAATTGCTTCCCAGAAAATCTGATGAGAAACCTAGCTTACCTGATTATGTCCTAAAGAATGTTAAATATTTGAGAAGAATTGCAGAGTACATTAGGATGGGATAAGGCTCATGAGAAGAATTACGTGATGAGGATTTTTTTGCAGATCTCAAATGGAAAATTGAAATTATCCAAGTAGCGATATCGATTCAACGATTGATTTTGATTGATGAACTTGACAAAAATAACTGCTAACTTTTCCAACTGGCGGCGTTATCAATGGAGGGGATTTTCGTCAGTTCTTCGTTAACGACGTCATTGACTAATTTAACGAACTGGCGATGAGCGAAGATGATTATTTGTGAGAGTGCTCAACACAAATTTAAAGTGAATACATTCAGTCATTTTGTTGCAAGTCAATATCACTAATTACTTCATCGATCAGAAGATTATTCGTCACCTTTTTCTGTTTAATACTGTTGATTTTTGAGTATGATGCAATGAAATATTACTGTTAAAACCCATGCCGTTACCTCCAACAGATTCAACTCATATTTATATTGCACTGGCTCTAGTTCAAACGCTCGAGGAAAATCTGGTGATTGAGGATAGGATGGAACGTTTACCACCAAATTCCTTTTCAATAACAGCGGCATACCCCAACACATTCTCCATCTCCACAACACACTAATTTAAACAATCCCCTCAGATCCTCAACATTCGAATTTATTGTCGTTTTACTGAGCACACAAATTGGTTGCGTCAATTCAAAGGAAAAGAATTCAGTCGTACCTTCGGCGACTGTAAGTAATGCACCGTTTCTTTATTGCTCTCAACACGAACGTCACACTCAGATCCTCGCAGATGAGTCACTCCTTTTTGATTGCCCAATAGTTTTCCGACGTCAACATATCGATTTGAAAACTCATAATCGATTACATAACTGCAATCAGATTCGGAAATTAATTCACTCTATCAGTAACACAGATTAAAGCATCAATTTCATAAGGTGAATGAACGCAAACCCTCGAGGATCGGCCTTTGTTGGACTGGTTGTATTGAACTCCATAAATGCATTCTGACCAAGTGAATACAACTCCAATCGTTGCTGAAGGCCACATACTTTTCGAATTATAGGTGCTCTGTTCGTGCTTCCATCATGAATTGTCATCGAATCATATGGACAACTGCAAAAGACGGATAGGAGAATCGAAGAATTCAAATGATAATTCCTTTGAGAACTATAAGGATCAGAAGGTAACTTGAATAATACGATGAATGTTTGGTTTGTGGTTTCGAAGTTTGATGAATAACAAGTCAATTAAACTTACTGTTCACCACCAAAATATATGTCAAAATCTCGGAAAAAAAATCGAATTCGTTGACCCGGTTTCCCATTGAGCAAATAGCTGCAGTGAAAGTTCTAAAATTTAAAAAACTGAATGAAAGACGTCATTAAGAGTGTCTGTTTTTTTTTNTTTTTTTTTCTGTTGAATAATCTTTTCATATCATATAACAGAGAAGAAAGAAGCAGAGATTTTATATTCTCAAAATAGATTGGAGTACGAAATGATAGAAAGGACTCACTTTAGGATATGTGCCTGGGTAAGTTGGAGATAGAATTGTTCCTCGTTTCCTGAAAGTTCCTCATAAGTTTTGCAACATCGATTTGGTTTCGAAAATAAGATGAAATTCAAATTCAACCGTATCTCTGTTCTACTGCACTGAGCAAAACTGAAAACAATTCTGGCGTGCAAAGAATACTGACTTAATGATCTCTTATCTAGATCATGCTAGTTGGAACAGGATATAATTAATCGCAATTTAGTGGAGTAGGATAAAACTACTCGTATATGGATATCATTAAATTTCATCAAAACAACTGAATCAGATTAGAATAATTGTAAAATCGTAACTAATTCAAGCGGATTATTTGCATGTGTTTGAATCAGTTATTATTAAGCAGTCGTTCTAATTTGGTTCAATTTTTTGACAGGATTTAATTTATTGAATTTCGGCTTCGATGTCTGTAGCCACGATTGGTCGGATTTCGTCGCTAGCAAGCGACAAGCACTCTTTGCCATTGTTACGTGTTCACCGCTGCAATGCGCCCTAGCTCAGCTTCTTGCTTGCTGTTGCGATAAGAAATTGATTGCAAACGAATTCATGCAAATACCCACTATAACGTAATTTTGTGTGCACAAAAGAAGTTGCGAGTCATGCAGATCAGAGATTTGAAAAAGTATCTTCGAAATTTTTTAATCTTAACCCGTGTTGATGCTGGAAATTGAATTCAGCATAACGAAAATGTCAGGTCTACTTGCATTCTGTTGCTTTTCTCGTTTTCCCTGTGTTTTTTTGGTATTCGTAGAGAAGTAACGGAAATAGCGATTGTGTTCCCTTTCACTTTATAGTTTACTTTTTTGTTTTTCACTTTTTATATCCATAAAATAAACCTATGCCATGGTAGCACTTTTTTCGAAATAACGTGTTATATTGCTGAGAGCGTTAAGGAACATCCAGTTCGAATGTTAGCTTACAACCACGGCGAAGTTAAAAATGACGATACAAGCAAATGGCAAATCACATTTATCCGACGAGAGTAGAAACACTGAAATTTAGTGCCCATCGAACGAAATCGAGAAAAGCCAATTTCATTTGGCCAACGACCGAAATCGAAAAAGGTTGACTATCTATGGCCACCGATTGAATCTGAACGACACTTCAGATCTGGCTGGTGGTCGGTGGCCACCGAAAAAACTCGGTCAGTTCTCAACTGTACTTGCTAGGTGATTAGAATCATGTGGGTGGCTAAAGAAATTGCTAGTGAGACGGCTGGAGACGAAGAAGCATCTTCAATTAGCAAATCTTACTGAAACTTGTTGGAACTTCTTTGTCAAGTGATCAAAGCAGCAGTCGAAGATCGTTGTAAGCAAACGAAATTATTCTCATCATCTCCTAATTGGGACTCTTCAACGCTGTTCACCGTCTGTTCATACAGTAATTGAAAAATTCACAAACATGAGAAAAAGATCACTTTCAAAACGGAAAAAGCAACATAAAAAAGCTTTGATACCTGGTTTTTGAATCAATAACGAATGAACATGTCCCGGGTGATAGCTGACGTCCAACATTGTAACGAGCTGAAACGAGTAAGATGAAACCAGGAAGATTTTTCTTCCGTTATACAGGGAAATTCTGTCGACGTGTCACTGATATTCATGGAAGTTGTTAAGAAACTTAACTCTTACTTACAAAAAACATTTACATCGGCAAGTAGTAGATTGTGAGGCAGTACGTTGCAGGAAAGGAAAGAGACTTGGGAACAGGGAAGTTGGGACCGAAACTTTGCAATCGGGGACCCCAAAAATGTGATCAGCTCGAAAAAAGCCAGAGACGAAGATGGGAAACCGAGATCCCCTCCTCCCAGTATTATATTACTGTGAGGTAGTGATGGGGTCCGAGCGAAATTTCGATCGGTCGGAATCGGGCGAATTTCGCATTTCGTCATTCCAACAATCGGAATTCCGATCGACTTTCCAAATTGCTCAGTCGGAATCCGACAGTCGGAATTCCGACCGACTTTCCAAATTGCTCAGTCGGAATCCGACCGTCGGAATTCCGACCGAAATTGTCAAATTTTTTCGACCGATTGTCGGTCGGATCCCATCACTGCTGTAAGGCAATTTTGTAAGCAGGCTGAATAAGGACGCATGAAAAGTCGTTCAATCAATTTCTTCGATCGACTGAAATCGGTCTTGGATGAGAGTTTTGACTGTTACTCTCACCGCTCTTGTTCTGCTCACATAAAGATTGCCTTCAGCATAACGATCCTGTAAGCAATAGTACATTCACTACTCCATAAAACTCACCGTCAGAGATAAACGTGTAATGTCCTCGAAATTTTAGCTCAGATCGTCTGTTCGAAGCTGCCCGGGAATGAAAGACCAAAACGATCACCTTATGCAAGCTGTAAATTAATTTCATTTCACATCCTATGACACTAACATATATTAGTTCCTTCTGTGAGCGATCATTTACGGTGTGCAAATAAATCATGAAAGCACACTTACTAACGCAGACGAAACAGTATCCTACCTTATACGTATATATGGCGATACAGTACCGCAATACCTACCACCAAAAGAAGCTGATAATAGGTCATCATGTGGACTCTTGAGCTCTGAGTATATATCAACATATTCCATTTCACAACTAAAAAGAGGCTCATCAGTAAGAATGTATAACTTCTCGGTGAATTATTATGCTCAACAATGAAAAAGACGATAACAAAGCTGAGATGATTGGTGATGAAAGATAAATTTCCAGAAGGTATTTCAGGAACGAACTTATCGGCAGTCCCAGCCAACTGAAACTGTTCGAAATCGAGCTTTACGCGTTGCCTTGGCCCCGCAACAAACGTGTATATACACTACAAGAACACTTTGAAAGTAAGATATTTCACGTGGTATCATTTGCATTATTTTGAGAGCATTTTTCATTCCGAAGAAAATCGCACTCGATATCTTCGCAGAAATATTTCCAAATTATTGGGCAACAACACCGTTTCATTATTTTCAATTAAGGAAATTCCGCGGGAAAGTTTTGATGCCAAAAACAGGCATCGTTTTGTGTTCTCTTGTCTGAAAGTAGACTAAATTCTCAGCATGAAAATTGAAAGTAAATTATTGGAATCAAATTAAAATGAACTTGAATCAGGTTAAAATTGAGTAACTGATAATGAATAGCACAGGAACGAATTTCACATGCAGTTCTTCTTAAGAGGTGTTGAAAATTGTTTATGATCATCTATCTGTATGCTCGGGATTTACAGTAAGGTCTCATGAATGATATCAGAGACATGGAAATGGTTATAAACACAATGTGGATTGCCTACGATGAGAAGAAATTCTCCGAGGTACGCTCCTCGCACGGAACCAATAGCGACATAACGAAATGGTTCGACAAATTCATAATCATTCGGAGTGATATTTTGATGCATCTCTTCTTAGCAGATGATTTTGTGCTGCTAGAATTGTGCTCTTTATTCTTACTTGCATATTTTTAAGGATTTCCGGTGACGAAGTGTGTTCTGATCCTGTTGCGGGTGGTGGTAGCATGGGAAGTTGAAATTCCCCGTCATTCTTTGACGAATCGAAAATATGATCACATTCTAAAATGTCGCACTTAATGTGGAATTATACTGAACCATCATGACAACGAGCAAATCTCGGTGTGTTGAAGTTGCGAAAACGTAAGCTCTCCCATCGTCGTATAATGTTCGTGATCACCAAAATGGTTTCACTTTATCGTACTATCCGATTCCAGATGGACAACCATGGAATCATTGCTGAACAATTACAGAGAACTGCATGAGAAATACCGACGAGCTATGAAATGAACTAATCACAAGATTTTTTCTCAAGACAGATAGTTTAGAGTTAAGTTTAGCATTGTCGACCTTGCCAGGCATACTTACTCTTCGTATTGTAACACTCCTTTGAGCCAGAATACCATAATGAGTACGAGCAGACAGGCAATGACAAACGTGAAAAGTAACGCGAAAATGATGTCGCAATCGAGACTGCGACAGAACGCACAATCCTCCTTCAACTGATTCCCTTGTTCGAAATCGATACGGTTTTCCGTCACCCTTTCCAGGGTTCGCATTCGCTCCATTTAATGCGGCCAGTGTTCCGCTCGCTCACAAGTCCCTTACCACGTACCCATCCAAATGAACATTATCGATGGAGAGTAACTGGATATCGTAAAAAGCAAAGTAATAATCGTAACGAATGATTCACATAAACGACATAAAGAGATAATGAAACGATTAGTGCGTACTGATAGCAATACCAACTTTTACACCTCTCTTATCAATGAGCATAGATAATGCTGAAAAGATCAGACAAACGATGATTTCGCTGCCAATCAAATAATTACGATGTGCTAGCAATACAGAATTTGAGCTGGAAAGTCAAAACCGGAAGGAACTGGATGAAAGTTTTAAGGAAATTGGAAGATTGATGGACAAGTGCATTCATTGCAATGGAGCTCGGGTAATTATTGAACTCAGTTTGATATAGCACCAGCCGTTTTTGAGTGAGAAAATTAGAGTTATTCGATCTAATATTTCCTTGCGATGCTATCTTTTCAGGTAATAAAAACAGCTACGATGCAGCGAGGAGAGTATGAATGCAGCACAGAAGGGCTTTAGCTTGGTGACAAACAGCTGTCACATCGATAAGTGAATTTACTGTGCTTTTCGAGAAAATGTTATTACAGAGCAATGCTCATGGGCGGCTCGATGTTCAGTATTGATGTGGCAATGTTCATTCGCTGAGTATTCGAATGATTTGCAATTATTTGAAGAAAGGAAAAGAGCAGACGGAACAAAGAAACAACAAATAAATGAAGTTGTTCAATGAAAAATGTTGTGCAAATCTACTCGTGATCAAAAACTTTGTGTAATACTGCATAAACTCTGTCAATGAGGTCTATTTGCTGATTTTGACAGCGATGTTGCTGCATTTTTACTTCATTCATTCATACATGACAACAAAGATCCTTTTTACCGTTATAGTTACCCTTCATTCCTTGAGTAGCGATTCATGTCTCAACTGCTCTGTCAAGCTTGTGAGTAATTTAGTTCGGTTACTCTGAAATTATTTCCATGGCCAAGCGGACTGAATGACGTTCATTAGTGAAACTGTTGGTGGAACAACACTGTCGGTTATGGTTCTGGCTTGTTTTGGTAGTGGTGTTTGGAATTAGGACCAATTACCCCTGCGGGGAATGAATTATCATGACGTGCTGCGTGGGAACCCCTCCTGCGCGAACATGCGTTCTCAGAGAATCCTCTGCACTCACAGGGGCCCGCGTAAAACACAGTTAACAAAAACAATAGTAATTCATAAGCAGAAATGCCCAAGGTCCTGAGCCAAAAAATTTTTTTTGGTTTTATCAAAAAAAATATATTGCAGCAACATTCAATGGACGAAGATAAAGCCTATATGATAAGTTTCCTTGTGCAGCCGAAACGAGGGGAAGTAAATCTCGGAGCTGAACCGGAGTAGTAGCCGAAATTTTCGAGAGTGCGCTGATGACGATGACAGTCTGCGTTACTGCGCTCGAAAAACAATAATGAACCTTTCTTACGGCATTACAAATTTCGAAACATGATGAATTTTCACGAACGGAAAAAAAAGTGGTATTGAAAATTACGATGAACGGATGGACCGAATGCATTGAGTATAAATGATATTGTAAGTAAGAACAAGAAGAATTTGTTTGGGAAAGGAAGAATTAAGACGGAAAATATACAGTGGGTGGTTTAGTGAGGAGAATTAATGCTAGTTAGTAGCTTGATGGTTGTGTAAGATTGGTGTGTGGATAAAGAACACACAAGGATTAGTGGCACTCATGAGCGACTTATCTCATCTTTAAAACAAACGAGCAACCACCGATTCAGTCAGTCGGTGCACGCAATAATTGTCGCGGTAAACATTCATTCACTCACTCTTAACCACCCTCTCTTTATGCTCATTTCCCAAGTGTCGCACAAAATTTTGAACTCTTCTTAACTTGGATTAACTATTTGCCATCACTTTAGAGATTTTCGTCTAATAAATGCAACTTTCCCATCCAACATTAGTGGTTACACGCCAATATGCTCTCAAGCATGCAAATGTGCCTCTTGATTTATAAATGATTTTCACATGCGAGTAGTTGCATGATTACTTTATGGACAGTGGTTGTATTTTACATTTCCACTCAATAATTCAGACGATATGCAACTCTTGAAAAACCGGAGACGATGAGGGCGATACTGATCAATCAAACTTCAAATGTTTGATTGATCAGTATTGCTTTCATTGATCAGTATTGCAATCTAGTTTCAAGTGGATAAAGAAAATGTGATCGACATTCCCAACCTCACACTGCATTAGCCAGAGATTCCGTTGGTTTGAAACATCATAAAACGGGCGAATTGATAGTTTTATGGATGAGCGACAAAATCAATGTGTGATATTCATTGCTGTAAAATATCTACAGAATAGATTGCAAAGGAATAAGCGTCAGGGGCTTATAGGACAATTGAGCGCATGAAGTTGTTGGCCATCAACCAACGAATGTATGAACAGTTTACATTAAACGTTCATCAGTTGGTGCTTATTATTCATTTGATATACTGAGTTCATTTGCTCATCAATTAGCACTCATTATTTCAGCTAATTGCCGATACCATCTATAACGTAAGGAAACTCTCAAGACTGCAAAATGAACTGAAGTGCACATTTTGCGTTTCGCGCGGTGATATCTCGACAAGAAATTTCCTTATTTTCAATGCTATCCAGAACCTCAAGAGCAAATTGCTTATGAAGAGAAACTATTCTTGAGTGTAAAAATGTAAATGCCTTTTTGAAGAATGAGAGGCATTGGATAAAATGTTCTGAACCATATCGAATAACTTCAGATTGTTCATGCAACAAGATTTGAGTGTATCGATACTCAGATACATATTATTTTATCAACTGAAAGAAATAAATCGAAAAATGGATTCATCAGACGACAAGTATAAATGGTCTGTATTGCGAAGATGTTCGCGGCGCATTTTGTTCAGCAATGATAACATAATGATGGTTCACAACCTCTACTTGTTACCTTGATATTTAATACTTCTTGTACCAAAATTTGCTCGCTGACAATCTATCCATGTAATTGAATTTATGAAAACAAAAAACAAAAAAAAANAAAAAAAAACAACAATTTTCAGCGCAACATGTTGCGTTCGGTTCATTCATTCATTTGAAAAAACATGTCCTGGTTCAAGCGAAATGGATAGCCATAAATATTTTTTCGAATCACATTCAAAAGAACAAAAATGTGAATGAGATGATTCACGCAAAAATTCCTCACTGTTGAATTTACTCGTCTCACTGAGGAATTCTGTAAATGAGGAAAAATATATTTTCTTCAAAAAGCTGTCAAAAACTGAATGCGGTAAAACTTACGAAAGATAGTTTCGGCTTTACTTGCACCTTTGACAACTGGAATTAGAAGTAGAAAATAGCAAAAATACGCGGACAACATTGTCGGTACATATTGGTTCTACACTCTTCACATCGCCTTGTTTTGGTGGCAACAATATGCTGAAACGAGCAACCATTATTAAATTTATTTATTTCTCTTGGACCAATTCCATGCGTTGAAATAGCTGAACGTTGGGAACGTTTCATGGGATCCAGGTGAAAACAACCTTTGCATAAACATCATCTTCATTATTGTTATAGTATCAAAACATCATCACATTTTTAATTAATGTATCTTTAAAAAGACATTCTGTCTGGTGCATGCATGATCGTAATGCATGGTTTCTAGATATTTCGACTACCAAAGGACAATTCAATCAAAATCAAGTGGTAATTTTTGCTAGAAATGAACTTTAGAATTGACGTTCAATTCATCTCAGATCTCAAGATCCGCCTCAGTGTGTTCAAAAGCGGGGTAAAAAAAGAGAACATGAGAATAACATATTTATAAAGTTAAGAAAAATGAACACAACATTTTGCAGAGGCCATTTGAGCCAAGCGGAGACTCCAAGTTTGCGTTGCTCACCTCTCTGTATATCACTTATTGGTGGAATACCTGCAGTTGCTTTATTACCTGAATGCTTGCACCTTCTAGTCAGTCTTGCATGCAAAGAATTGATTGCCTGAAGTTTTCGGTAGTCACTAGGAGAATCGAGATCAGCAGGGACAGAGACGTAAAGGGTGTAATTCTTTATTCATTGATCAAGTCAATACTGATCGAATGACAATCGCATGAAACTCGACTAACACATACATAAACCGTTTTACATTAATCTCGTTCACGACTAACTCTTTTTTTTTTGAAATGCCGTATATCAATGTCGCATATAATTTTAAAATTTTTTTCCTGGCTCCAAAACAGGATCATCTTCTGATATTGATCGAAGAATAAATCTCATAATTACTGTCTTACTTATGAACGCTCTATCAGAAAAAAAATGATTTTATGCTCAGTACGACGTTTACAAACCTCAGAAAGCTCATATTATCGATCCATAAACATAAGTGAACTTTTTCAAGAATCCTGACTGATTATGATAAGAAAAAAAGAATCAGCGCCACTTTCAAATCGTAGGGTGAGTCATTTCCTTATGTGGGCACTATCGATATTACGCACGCTCTGCGATTCGACTTCAAGTTCGATCCTAGGAGCATACTTCAGAAATCGATGCTATAGTAAACTTCATTTTTTCAGAAGGTGGGAATCACCACGAGCTGAATATCGTTGATTACGAAGTCGACTCTAGAATACGCCCTCACTGTCTCCGGTCCAACAAAAGTGAAGTGAATCCATTTTTTGAAATTGCCTGGCAGCAGACTCTACGTTCCGATATTCAATTGACTGTTCAGGAAAGAACAAATAAGAAGGTGATGCGAAATCAATAAACAAGAAATGCGATAGGATGAAACGCAGGATGTGGATTGATGGAGTGAAAAAGACGGCCAATAACGTTTATTATTGCTTGAAGAAGCACGATTTTAAATCAGCACAACATCGCATCACCTCTTCAGCATCGAAACGCAGTTGCATTTGCACGCCAACTGCTTGTTCAGCCTATCAACTTCAAGCACCATCAT